ACTGGGTGTAACATGTAACAACATATAATATGAAAAAATAGTGTTGTTTCATGTATAATGTATCATTGCCTACTTTCGGATCTATTCAATCTTTCTAATGTGTATTGTTTATATTATATTATGAAGATTTGTTATAAATTAATTTGCATTTCCTAAATACTCATGATCTATCTACCAAGGTCACCGGCTGAAGCGCTATTAGCGAAAAAAGGCAAAGCAATGATTCAGAAAAATCACGTTGAGAAATCTTTAGATCCCTTAGTAACCGAAGATAACCATCATCCAGTTTAGATATCAGTTGTGAATTAATGGAAAAACTTGACAAAAACAAAAATAACCTAGAATCTTCTTATACAAATTGTTATAATTTTCGTGAGGCAAATTTTCCACTTATTTCATATATCAAATATTAACTGGACTTATTCAGAAAGCTTTTATAATGCTGATGATGCCTGTACATTTTTTTATGGCAAGTTGTATAATGTGTTAGATCGTTGCGTATTCAATTATTCAGTGCACAATAAAAAAACGTATCCTCCTTGGTTTAATCCCAGTATCATTAAAAAAAATAAGAAAAAAATCAAAATTTTGGCGTCAATATGAAAAAGACAATGATATCAGGGCTTTCGAATAATTCAAGCGCATAAGAGCTAAAGTTAAAATTGCGATTAAAACAGCACATGAAAATGATCTTTTAAAAGCAGAGAATAATATATCTATTAACGCTAATAAGTTTTGGGCCTACGTCAACAGTAGAAAAAGTTCTAAAAAAGTTGCTAAAAACATGACATATAAAAATAATACACTGGATAATCCTGCTGACATACTAAATAGTTTTGCTGATCTTTTTAACAAGTCCTACGTTCATTCTAAAGTTTCTCATGTGGATGTGTATGAACTTCAATTAACTTGTTTAAATATTGACAGCTTTGACGAAAGCCAGGTACTTGACGCATTAAAATCTATGAAACCTAAGCGTACTACGGGAAGCGACCATATTCCTGCATTCATTTTGAAAGATTGCGCCCAAGTACTGGCTTATCCTTTGACAATCCTGATCAATATCTGCATCCGTTCTAGTACTATTCCGTCCATGTGGAAGAGCTCTAAAGTATGTCCGATTTTTAAAAAGGAAATCGAACTGACCTTAACAACTACCGACCTATTTCTATTATTTGCAATTTTTTTAAAGTATTAGAAATATTACTGAAACGCAGTATTTATCAACACATAAGTTAGCCACTCAACAACATGAATTCGTGCAGAAAATATCGATAAACGTATTCAGATTGATGTTATTTATACAGATATGATTAAAGCATTTGACAGACTGGACCATGGAATTTTAGTAAAAAAAACTGTCTGCTTTTGGACTCTCAGATAGTCTTATTAACTTACTAAAATCATATTTGTGTAACTGTTCACAATACGTTCAGCTCAATGGGTTCAAGTCTGTTAAGTACCTTGTCACATCGGGTGTCCCTCAAGGGTCGAATCTTGGCCCGCTCTTGTTTATTATTTTTATAAATGACATTGGTAGTGTAATTAATGTTAATTATCTACTGTATGCCGATGACCTTAAAATTTATGCTTCCATAAATAGTATTGCTGACTGCGATCGATTTCTGAAAATCTAAAACAAGTTAATGAATGATGCCAAAGAAATAATTTAAAATGGAACCCAGCCAAGTGCAATATCATGTCGTACTCCTTAAAGTCAGATCCAACTCTTTACCAGTATATTGTTGACGAAACTCCCTTAAACAGATCAAAAAACTTTGTAGATTTAGGAGTCCTATTTACTGACCATGTCGATAGTAGTGCATCCTCATCTAATCGTACATATATGGATTTATAAACAGTCATGATTTTGAGAAAGTAGATACCATAAAATTTATGTATTATGCTTTTGTCCGATCCAAGCTTGAATACGCGTCACTTATATGGAGTCCACTGTATCAAGTGCACATTGGTCGATTGTAAAGAATTCAGATACGATTCCTAAAATACTTAAGTTTTAGACATGATCTAGTTTATCCACCCATTGGCACCCCACGCGACGCTTTATTAAATAAACATGAATTTTTAAGTCTCGATATAAGGTGAAAATATGTTCCTGTAGTTATTCTGTATAAGGTCATAAGCAATCAAATAAACTGCGAATGTTTATTACATAAAATATGCTTAATTTAAAAGTTTCACTTCACAGGATATCAAAAGGCATTATTTAGGATAACCATCATTGTACTTCATTTCCTGTAATATTTTTCATTTTTATATGTTTCGTCTAAATAGGTTTGTCATATTTTCCTATTCTGTAATTGGGTATTACTTGCAGAATAGTGTATTTAATAAATAAATATCAAAACTATTTGAGAAATTGCTTTTAAGAAGACTAAATAAGATCTTCGACAAAAAAAACAATTTATCCCGTCCCATCAATTCGGATTTCGTGATAAATATTCTACGATTGATCAGATCCATCGCATAAAAAATAAAATTGGGAATTCTCTAGATGAAACAAAATTGTTCCGCAGTATTTCTTGATATCTGAAAAGCCTTCGATAAAGTGTGGCATCAAGGCCAACTATTTAAAATAAAGAAATTTTTCCCGATGCCATATGTCCAACTACTAGAATCATATCTATCACAGTGAACATTTAGAGTTAAAATGTAAATCAAGTCGATAAATGCTGACGTCTCACAAGGAAGTGTTCTTGGGCTAGTATTATATTTACTACACATCTATGACATTCCAAAAATAGAAAATATAAAATTAGAAACTTTCGCTGATGATACAGCCGTCTTAAACGTAGGATCAACTATAGAAGAAACAACAACTAATCTTCAAAACGGAATCAATAGCATACAGTAGCGTAATTAACGAAATAAAATCTGCTCACATTAACTTTACTAATAGAATAGATTATATACCAAACAATTTAAATAACAATATTATTCCAAATAAGAAAACAGCAAAATATTTGGGGTTAAATCTGGATGCTAAATTAAAATGGAAGGAGCATGTAAAAATGAAAACTGAACAGATAAAGATTAAATAAAGAAATATGTATTGGTTGATAGGAAGACACTCTTTACTTTCCATTCAAAATAAAATCCTGATTTAGAAACAAGTTCTGAAGCCAGTATGGACATATGGCCTACAATTATGGGGGTGTACTAGTAAAAGCAATTACAATTGCCTAGAAATAGCCAAAACTGAATCCTCGGGAACATAGTTAATGTGCCTTGGAATGTTCGGAACAAATACCTGCACCGAGAACTCTAAGTTGAATCAATTCCAGAAGGAATTAAGAAAATTTGTCAAGAGACGTAAGGAGAGGCTCGACAAACACATTAACATTTTTTTTTTAGAAAATTATTTTTCTTCATCATAACTTGAAAATATCGATTTTTCTAAGTTCTTAAACATGACCATATTTGATGGCCCTTCTACGCTCCCATGTAAATCTTAAAAATGTTCAAAATTATTTTGATGAAATCGCTAAACGTCTTTACTGTTCCAAATCCCAAATGGGTCACTAAATAAAAGACGTTTGGGAACGAAATAAAAAGCTTGGAATGAACTGCAATTTTATCAATTGAAAAGTATCCAGAACAATATCCCAAAAGTGATCTGGTTCGTAGCCGGATACCCCTAGAGGCTATCAATCCATTATAAAGTTTCACCAATTATCTCTAAGTAATCTGGAAACAACTGGATTAGAAGCAGTAGCGTCGTTCTGGAAATTTATCAAACTAAATTTATCTAACTAAATAAATAAACCGTGAATTGAATAAATAAAATAGCTATTTATGCAATCATTTACGAAATGCCTTATTTTATGTTACAAATTACATTAACCCTGAAGTTGTATCATGGGGTTTTACGACACCCCAGGATATTGTTTTTTGTAATAGAAAAGAAAATATTTTTAATTTTTCTTTTTGTTTCAGGTAATCTTTGGAAAAGTAGAGTAGATTAAGTGAACGGAAGTGGACGTTTTTTTTTGTTAACCTAGTTTGTGTTACAGACAGTGTGGGGTATCGAGCCATACCAATTACGTGACTCTAAATTACAGTGACTGAATTTAAATGGCGAGAGAACACAAAAAGAAATGGAATATTGGACGGAATATTCAAGTGAACTGAGTAGTGTGGTGATGAGCAAATTGATCAGGAACTGCATGCTGAATCTGAATTTGAAGCTGCGGAAAGTGACGAGGATACAGAAACAGTGAAATAACAGCTCAGCTTACTGGTAACTACTTTTATGGCAAAAATAGGTTTAAATGGGCAAACACAGAAACAGCTCCATCGCGTACCCGTAAGCACAATCTAGTCACACACTTACCGGGACTAAAAGGTAATGCAGCAATAAATAAGCCTAGAACATCTTATAAGGCATGGTCTTTACTGTTTAGTAATGATATTATTGAAATAATATTGGACCATACCAATGCTAAGATCACTGATTTGAGCGCAAATTATGGTAATACCGCCACAATGAGTTTTAAAAGATTTCTCTTTTTATTATTAGCAATTCGTTTTGATGACCAAAACACTAGGGAACATCGTATAAATAACGGCGATAAGTTGGCTGCAATTTCCGAGATTTTCAATATCTTTATAAATAATTGTAGAAACAATTACACATTCAGTGAATATGCTACAGTAGATGAGATGCTAGTTTGCTTTCGTGGCAGAAGTTCTTTTAGACAATATATCAAGAATAAACCTCGAAAATACGGATTCAAAATTATGTGCCTCTGTGATGCCAAAAACCATTACTTGCTAAATGCTTTCGTTTACGTGGGAAAAGAACCTCTTCGCCAAAATTATTACTGCATTAATAGTAGTTATGTCCATCAATGTGTTAATTAGTTTGTGTTTTCTGAAATGTACAGTCTTCATTAAAATGTGATTGACGCTTTCTACCATGACCACGATATTATTAACAACGATAAAGATGACAGCAATAACACTGATAAAATACTTACAGCATGTTGCACCGCTGAGGCTTCTTCAGAAAGATCGCTGTGATCTTCTTGGTGAGCCTGATGATGTGCTGGAAGCTTATTTGGCACTTGGGTCTGCGATCGACTTTCCATTAAAGACTGGGTTCTCAAAATAGGAACAGATTTGGTATCGAAACTGACTCGTTTTTCTATGTGCGGTCGTTCGCTCTTTCGTATTGGTTCGGGCGTGAGTATACCTAAAAAATATAAATATTTAAGAAACTTGGAGATAGAAAAAAGGTGGTATGGTGGTAGTACAGGAAGTAATATTTTTTATTCCGCTTTTTCATAGAGAATTTTATGCATCATTAATAGTATTTTGTATTTTTTTTTTAAATTTGACAATATAACTAGTAAACAAAATAAAATTAAATCTTAGTCAATACCTATCACATAAATTTTTATATATGCTGATGATCCAATATCATCTTTATGGATGATTCTAAAATCATAGAAGGGAATTCCTGTAGACCTTTTGAAAATATAGAATTTTGAGAGCTTTTTTTGCCACTGGAGGTATACAAACATTTAGTCTGGTACTCGTGTTATACTGGGTATATCTCATGGTTAAATACAATTTTATCCATCAGCCATTTTTTATTTTAAATTAGTGTTTCATACCTTCATCCCAAATCTGTCACTGGAAGCCACTTTAAAAGAGATAACATAGCCTTTATTGGGTCAGCCCAGATCGGGAGAGTATTGTCAGCAATGCTCGTTTCTGTAGTTTTTATGATCTACTTTTTTAAAATTTTGTCCTAATAGGTAAAGTATTGTAGCACAATAAGTAAAATGGGGCAAAATTCATTTTAAAAGGTGTTTTTATAATACACCCAAATATTAAACCTTAAGAATATTATTGTTTAAATTTAGGTATTTAAGAAACATACTCACTGTCAACCAATTAAGAATCCTATATTATTCTTTAGTGGAGTCACGTATAAATTACTGCATTATATGTTGGGGGAGCTGCGCATCTGCTCATCTTAAACCACTCGAAGTGTTGCAGAAGAGATTTATTAAAATTATTTACAATAAACCTGTATTATATCCTACTGATCTATTATTTATTGAAAGTAAATTATTTAATGTTAGGCAATTGTTTGTGTTCAGTACAATTATATTCATTTATAAAAATAAATCTATATTAAGTAATATATCCCACGAATATAATACTAGATTAAAAAGTAGAAATTGTGTTTTAGTCGAATACTCAAAAAAATCAATTGGTCAGAGAAGTTTTTCTTATTTATCAGGTAAAATAATGAATAACTTACCTGATATTTACAAATTGTATATATACAACTTAAATAATCTGAGCATGATTAAAAAATATTTTAAAAACTATCTATTGAACGAAAGATCCCTGATATATGAACTTTTTAATTAAATAAAAAAATAAAAAAAAAAAATCCTTTATTTATATGGTCTATACATTTGATATATATTTAAAAAAAAAAATTAAAAAATCTATTACATTATTTTATATAAACATACTTTTCATTTAGCTGTATTAGTGTGAGTAAAACAAAATTAATAATCTGAATGCTTCACTGTTATATTCAAAATGACAACCTTTACACAACCTCCGGGTTCTTAGGGTTCTGTTGCTTTGTTTATTTCAAATACTTAGGTTATCAGTCACTACATAAAAAAAAAATTCCATCTATAAAGCTAATTGTTCATGTATATTATTTTTCAATTTTGTAAATTATTATGAAATAAACATTATTTATTTATTTTTATTTATTTATTTATTAAAACTCTTCAACGTGCTGTAATTAGTAGCTTCTAATTTTGATTACATAATTATCTACATAAATCTTATTATATTCTCTATCATTTCCAATAAACATATATTTAGTTTTACAATTAATTTTTTCAAACTTTTATTTGTAACTGCCACTGCTTGTTTAATGTTATTTGATGGGTAAAATAGAAGTGTGTCATCTGCAAATAAATACAATAGATATTCAAATTAAAGCTCCCCTATGTCAACTACATAGAGTAGAAACAATAAGGGCTCCAAAACCGTTCCTTGAGGTAAACCATATTCATTGATTACTTCATCAGAAATTGTTTTTTATTTTTACTTTTAGTTTTCTATTTATGAGGTAATCAATGATTCAATTTAAAACTGTCCCTCTTATTCCTATACTTTCAAGTCGAAATCGATCTATTGTTTCAAGAATACAGCTATAATAAAATTGTTTTTATCAATTACTATAAAGTAAACTTAATTATATTTGATTCTATTATTCTTAACAGTTGGAATTCCACTCTTAACATTCTAATTATTATAAACAAAATCAACAATATAAATTATTGTAGACATATCTACTAACCATGAGTTATACCTACCTATTTAGATAACACAATGTGTTGCACTCTAACATTATGTGACAGTAAATTTAGAGTTTAGTTGTTTCAGTTATATCTAATCTAATGTTTAAAATATATACAGTATTAATATTAATCAACAAACAAAGGTGAGTTAGTAAATTTAAGGTAAGCATTTATTTTTATTGTTTCGTCAAATTGTTATCGATATATTTTTTACTCAAGTATTATATTAAGGGCATTTTTTTGGTATATGCATCTTAAAAGATAGGATATCACTTTTAGGCCTTATTAAACTCATTATACATCATCCACGAGAGGCTTCCTCTACATATATATGTCACTCATTTGCGACAAGAATGACATTGTTAAAAAAGTTGTAGTCTTTGGAAATCGCGATTAAAGGTTTTATCAGGATATTAATACGTTTTGAGTACCGACAAACGTCTCAAATGAGCGAAAATAATAATGAACTGGACAACAATAAGGAAAGACAGGAGGATAAACAATATGGAAACTACCGAAGAGGCTCATAAGAAAACCATGGAGGAAACAGAAATTGAACAAAACATTGCAGCATTTGCACAAATCATGGAAGAGGCCCAAGGGACAATAAAAACCATAGAAAACCTAGAAACAGAATAGTCCTCCTCCGAACAAGTAGCTTAGTTCTCTTTAACATCAAACATGAACACGGTGAGTGACTCTCGGAAAACTCATCAAACGAAACCAAGGAAAACCAAGGTGATTAGAATCCTTCAAATTAATCTCGGATGAAGTGTTGCCTCCCATGGCCTAGCTGACGTAGTGGCAAACGACCTAAACTGCGATATGGTAATAATGAGCGAACCACACATTAACACAATAAAGAAAGAGGGACCATGGGTAAGCAACAAAAACAGGGACACGGCAATTAAAATCATGAAGACAGGTATGAAAATAGGTAGGAAAAAAAGAAGAAAAGGATACTGTTTGCTAAACGTCGAAGACTACCGAATAGTAGCATGCTATATATCTCCAAACTGTAAAATGGATGAGTTTGAAAGATACCAGAATATTGAAGACGATATTATAAGAACCAAAAGGAAAATCATTGTAGCTGGAGATTTTATTGCAAAATCTCCTGAATGGGGCTCTCGCACAGAGGACTCAAGAGGCCGCAAACTCACTGAATGGCTAGGGACTAGGCCCACATTCATCAGAAACTCTCAAGAATCGATAATCGACTTGACGCTCAGTTCTGAAAACGGTAAGGATTCAAATTAACAAATGGGAAGTCTTACTGGAAGAAACGGCGAGCCTACACCAGTTTATTTATTTTGATATTGGAGAGGTAGCAGGCACACCCCGTAGGCATGGCTGGAATGTCAAGAAGCTTGATCCAGAAAAATTTAAACAAATGCTAAATACTAAAATCGGAAGCCGGAAAGAATGAAACCCAACAGATCTCATAGAGGCAATGAAAGAAGCATGCGATTCCTCTATGCCCACGAAAACAGAGAACCCTAGATATCGCAGAAAATACTGGTGGACTACCGAAATAGCAGCGCAACGAGCCGAGTGCAATAAATTAAGAAGGAAAAAAGTGAGGACTGATACGAAAAACATTAGAAAAATAAATGAGACTGAAGCGAAACTTAAAGGAGCCAGGAAGACATTACGAAACATGATCATGACAAGTAGATCGTGAATCCGTGGAAAATGATCCATGGGGAAAAGCGTACCAAGTTGTTATGGGCAAGCTGAAACCAAAGCCACTGGATATTACAGCAGACTTTAAAAAAGAAATAATTAACACTCTATTCCCAAAACAAGGCAAAAAAACGTGGATACCCGAACAAGGAGAAGATGAACAAATCCCGGAAGTAAATATAGAGGAAATAAATCGCGCTGCAAAAAAATTGAAGAACCGCAAAGCTCCTGGACCTGATAGGATACCTCCGGAAGCTGTCAAATTGGCAATACGAGAATTCCCAAACAACATCCAAAATGTCATAAATTACATTATTAGCACAGGGACATTTCCCATGGAATGGAAGATCGGTAGATTAGTCCTAATTAAAAAGCTCGGAAAAGACGAGGAGGAACCGTCGTCATATCGGCCCCTGTGCTTGCTAGATACCATGGGGAAATTGATGGAACATGTCATCGCTGCAAGAATAATTAACGAGCTTGAAATGAAGGAAAACCTGTCTGAGAGTCAATTTGGCTTTAGAAAAGGCAAATCCACGGTGGACGCAATTAAAGAAGTTACCAAGACTGCTGAACAAGAAGCCAAGAAACATCAAAGAACGCGAGGATTCTGTGCATTGGTAACCATGGACATTAAAAATGCCTTTAATACAGCGTCGTGGAACTGTATCATGATGGAACTTAGGCGACGAAAAATATCAAAATATTTAAGGACGTTGGTAGTGAGCTATTTCACAAACCGAAGAATAGTGGACGAAGAAGGAAAAGAATACTGGGTATCTGCTGGAGTTCCTCAGGGTTCTGTTCTGGGTCCCCTACTATGGAACATCATGTACGACGGGGTATTGCGTATTACAATAATCGAAAACGTAAAGCTGATAGCGTACGCCGACGACCTGGCAATAGTAGCAACGGACAGAACGGAAGATGGCTTGATGATAACGGTAAACAGAACCTTAAAATCTGTAAACAAGTGGGTGAAAGATCACGATCTCAAACTTGCACTGGAGAAGACCGAAACCGTTCTCTTGATTGGGAAGAAAACACAGACCACACCTATACAGTTTAAAGCCGATGAAGTGCCTATAATTCCAAGCAGGAGTGTTAATTACCTTGGTGTTACAATAGATAAGGGTTTAACATATAATGAACACCTACACAAGACAGCTGCAAAGGCAAAAAATATGTCAGCCTCACTTATAAGACTTATGCCTAGGATAGGAGGAGCAACAGAATACAAACGAAGAATGTTAAGCGCAATAGTGAACTCAATCATATTATACGCATCTACTGTTTGGGATAAAGCTCTTAAATTTAAAATGAACCAACACTTATTAGTAAAGACACAAAGAATGATATCAATAAGAGTGTGCAGAGGATACAAAACGATATCCACAGATAGCAGTCTAGTTATCTCCAAAATCATACCGCTTCGATTAATAGTTCAAGAGAGAACTGAAACAGACGGGAAAAATGAGGAAGAGAAGAAAGCGGCCAGAAAAAGAACCATAACTAGATGGCAACAAGAGTGGGAATAGAGCGAAAAAAGTAGATGGATCTTCTGTCTTATACCGGACCTTAGGAAATGGATTGGCTGCACCTTTGGAAACACCGATTACTACACAACACAAATCCTAACTGGACATGGTTGCTTTATGTACTACCTTCACAGATTTGGTATAAGGGAGAGTAACCAGTGCATGTATTGCTCCCAGGTAGACACAACAGAACACACACTTTTTCACTGCGAGAAATGGAAGGAGGTAAGAAAGAACACAGAAAACGAAATAAACGATACCTTAACCAAAGAAAATATTATTAATAAAATGATGGAGAGTGAAGAAAATTGGAAAAAAATAGGCAAAATGATTGGAAAAATCATGAAAGAAAAGATTGCAAATAATAGAGATTAGAAGTCATAACATCTAAAAGCACAACTTCCTGAAGTAATGCCGCGAGCGATCCCGGGAAGTACATCCTTGTGCCTCTAGGAGTGGTTTTTAGCGCGGTAAAAATCCCACACTACCTTTAGCACGGGCTAAAGGTGTCTTTTGAAGATTTTCCACTACTTTTTACTTTTAGAAGCACGATTTTGATTGGACCACCAGTGTTTCTCTTTTTCATTATTGCCTCGTGGCAATACATTTAGCAAAGATGAATCTGCATCTACAGAAAAATATTTACCATAGGTACTAGAAATATTATTTATTTTGCATTCTGAACTGGTTTGAGACTGACTGGCAAATACGGAATTAGAAAACTGTTTTTGTCAAAAACATCTATTACTTACTACTAGGAAAAAATCAAAATATTGTAGTTTTTTATAAAAAGAAGGTGAATTATGGATTTTTATTTGACTGTTATTAAGCAAATAAACTAAATATTCTAAAATTATTTATTTGAAGTTTTTACTTTAGTGCCCTTATTTTCTATATGTAAACTTTCAAAATTATCGCTAAAAGAGTGGTTTTCAGCCAAAATATGATTGGCAAATGTAAAGTTAATATAACTGTTATGATTACACCTCTGATGACGCTTTTTGAAAATACTGCCCGTTTGACCAATATAAATATTTTGACATCCACCAAAATTTAATTTTTATACACCTCGGGTGTAAGAATTGTGACACGTAAATATTTGTTCTGTCGCATGCAAAATTTAGATTTGCCTAGTTTGGAAGAAAAACTAGATTAAAAAAAAAAACAACTTTGGTCGTGTGAAGGATTTACCGAATACCAAATTGATTGTTTGAAACGCAGTTACGTACCCTTTAAGTCTCAAGTGAGAGAAAGGTGGTTGAGAGCACATAAAAAGAAAGACATATTTTACAAATACAATTATGCATGGCTAAACGGAACTTTTGAGATTCCCAAAATCGGCCAGGTCGACCACATAAGTCATTTGGAGAGTCAAGTTCTCGAACTTAAAGGAGAAAACTGAGGAGATTCGATATACTTCAGATAAAGAAGTAATCATACATGCTGCTCAAGTAGAATTGTGAAAAGCTGGAAAACGAGATATACTCCAATGTACCCAAAGATCTCACCAGTTCTCCAAAATGTGCAACTAAATATAAAAAAGCATTTTCTAAATTAAAACGTGAAGAAACTTGCTCTCTTATCGCATTACAAGCATTAGCAATGTTCGTAGAAGCTGGTTTAACTCGTCGGCAATATGAAATAATTAGAAATACTAATAAAAAAATGCTTCCCTTGTTATAGCCTTTTACAAAAGGTAAAACAAGAACGCTATCTACCCGCAGAATCATGCAGAGTAACTAGTACCTGTGATGAGAGCAATTTACAGCCTTTAGTTGACCTTACAGTTCCTACAGATCCTAAAGTGGCTTCCAAAATAACGGGCATTAGTTATAAATTAAAGGTCATACTAGAAACGATTTCTAGCGGACATATAATTGATCCGGAAAAATATGACAAATACGCATTAGATGCTGCTCGCTTATATGTGCAGCTGTACCCTTGGCACCCAATGACATCAACGATGCACAAAATACTTATTCATGGTGCAGTTATAATAAAAACTCCATTGTTGCATATTGGGCAGCTGTCTAAAGAAGCCGCGGAAGCACGTAACAAGCATTTCCGCTCATACCGCCAAGACTTCGCGCAAAAATTGTCTAGAGAAAATTGTAAGGAACGTTAAAAGAAGAAAAGTGAAGTCTTTTTTGCCAGAAACAATTAATTTACTAATGTCTGCAAAGCCGCCTGAAGCTGGTAATTCTTCAGAAAGCGAAGATGAAAATGTATACGAATAATGTTAGATAAAATTGAATATCTATATTTTTTATTAATATATAGGTTAATTAAACATTAAAACCTTTGTTTTATTTATTAATATCGTTTAGAATCGATATAGACCAAAAAATAATTTTGGCCGCGTAAATCGTTTAAATACCCATATGTGCGTCGTGCACTTCTAAAATACTTTTCAATGTCAACAGTTTCGTTGACGGGACTGGTCTCGGAGACAACGGCCACGTTTCGACTGCCCAAAAACAATCCAAGATACGAACGCCATTAAGTTTTAACATTATTTGTGGACTGCTTCTTAAAATCTTCACAACTAAAATTCAAAACAAAATCAAATATATCCCTATTGAGCTTGAAAAAGCCACGAAACTTTTCATCATCAGAATCTAGATGGGTTTTAATGAGTATTTTATAAAATCCTTCGTAGATTCTGGATCTGGATAATTCGCCAGTTTCCTTTCGTCTTTTAACAAAACTAATGCAGCTAACTTTTCCAAATCGAATTCTCAAGTACTTCTTCTTACTTCAAACTCAAAAATATGACTACCGAAACGCAGACGCAGACGTTTCAACCCAAAAATTTGATCATAACAGGTGGCCGTCACTGCCAGACGTCGCAACGAAATCATACCATGGCGTTTGTAATTATTCTACATCCTGTCGGAAAGGCAAGTAAGATTTGGCTATATTTTAAGAACTTCCACTAACGATAGGGTATTTAAACCATCTTACCTTTAGATTTAGATTTGGGGCTACCATCTTCCTTAGAACTTCCTTCCTCGCTACTCCCCTCAGTACTCCTTCTCATAGGCGATAACCTCCTTTCCAAGTCCTGTCTGCTATCCCCTCTCTTTATCAAGGGATTAATCCTGACGGGTCTATGGTTAAATCCCTCTGGAGATCTTTGAACGAACACATCGTTGGGTGTGCCAGGAGAATCCCCTCTTAGTGTTAGAGGCGAGCCGCCTCTGCCTGAATAGAGAGAACCTTGATCGTCGTAGATGTCTTCGGATTGCGTTCTCCTGGGCGATCTTCTTCTGAAGGGCGGCGATGATGATAACTCCTTGTTTTGGAGGTTGGTTTGGTGTAAGGCCAATGAGGGGTAGTTATTAATGTCTTGATTTCTAGGAAGGCTGTTGTAGGGGCGCAGTTCTGGGGAGCCTCGCATTGCGCTCCATCTTGGGGTTGGATCTAAAAAATTAAAAATGGGATAAATTTGATATACGGTGAATTTTAAAAAAAGACAGATGGAAATAAATCTGACTTCATCGAACTCTGTTTTAACCAAATATTCTCCTCAAAATTAACAGAAAGTTGCTGATTAATTTAAATTTGCGGAAGTTAGAAGTATTTTATACTATTACATTTAATAAAGAAGACATCTATGATATATACTTCATTGATGATTTTCCAGAGAACAGTATTGTTCAAAGGAATTCTTGTAAAAAAAAATCTCCGAATACTTTTATATTTTAAAACATTGCCATTCAGCCAGACAAAGATTCGTCCATAATTAGAAAGACTCAAGAATATTTCCTAATAGCAAGAGGTGTAAGAAGAAGAAAAACAATATATGACGGGGACACTTGCTTTTCGTCCAGGGACCCATCAGAACTTTTTTTTAAAGACAAACAAAATTAGGCCTTGGTAAGGCGGTAAACAAATAGGTATAATACAGAGGAAATAAGATTAAGAGATTCCAATCATAGACGAATCTTGGAGTCTCTCAGAAATTGTAAGAGGCAACTGATAATATCATCAGAAAAGCTGTTTAAATATTTAAGGGGGATGGAATGTTATTTTTTATAAGATTCATATAAAGCATGTTTGAATGTACTACGTAGTTTTTGCATTCGAAGAATACGTGATTAAGATCTCCAGTTGTTTCACAAAAGTCACAATTTTCATATTCTTTTACATTAATTTTAAACCAGTGCCTAGGTCTAACTTGGATGCATTGGTGTTTAGGATGTTTAGGAAAGCTATTTAGGTTACAAAGGAGTAAATTAGAACAATTATGAGGATTTTCATCATAATTGGGTTGTTTAAGTAATGATCTAAAGAAACAAGGAAAGTCGGATGTAATGAAGAATTGGACGAAAGAACCTAGGGAGTCAAAAGCTATCTCACAATTTTAAACAGCTTTACAGAACGGCGGTGAGTTTTTATGAATCTAGTATTTATTTGTTAGATCGTATGTATTAAGTTCAATAATTTCAGAAAATAAGGTTGAATTATGTAACAATGTCTTAAAGAGAAATTTGTGACTTAGGTATTCTATTCTATATTTAATTGGTGGCTCTACAGCTTTGATATAAAGGAATTCAGTTTTTGTAGATTTCATAGCACTCAAACATGTGCATAGTACAGAACTTTTTCAGTAGAGAATTGTTGGCCGATCCATACGAAATACATCCATAGTCCAGTATAGATCCAATGTAGGATCTATAAAATAGTAAACCTGTATTAACATCGGCACCTAACCAAACTTTCAAGATAGATTTAAAAAAATTTAATCCCGTTTGACACCTGCTTAATGTATACAATGTGATGTTTCTACGTGAGCTTCTTATCGAAGATCATTCCAAGATATTTAGCGTATGTTTGTAAAGAAAATTCTTGTTGTTTTAAATTAATTTTATTATTATTAGGTGTGTTATGTCGGGTGAAAATACATACAACAGTCTTGTTGGTAGAAATTTCAAAACCATTAATACAGCACCAAGACTGCAAACTAGATATAATTGTATTTAAGGATGTAAGGGAAGAGTCATATTTCTTTTTTTTTTCGTGTAGATACATATATCGTCTGCGTATTGGATGACTTTGAACGGTATATTAATCAAATGAATTTTATGTAAACTGGCGGTATAAATATTAAAAAGTAGAGGACTCAAAACAGATCCCTGTGGTAGATCAATACTCGTGGAGCCAGGTCTCTTACATATATAAACCTGCTGCAATAAAATTTTATAATGATATTAGAAATCAAAGAAGGAATTTTGTGTAATCTATCACTGCCCACTTTCAAAACAGCATGAATTTTCCATTTTCGCGCCAACATATACTATATGTGGTGGGGGGGATAGACGAATATGATCGAACAACATAATCTGTTTATGTCGCGAAAAATACCTTTTTGTTATAGTTTAACCATGTTTCACGGGGTCGTGAAAAAGTCAGGTAGGCCGACTGTAATCTATTTTTGGATGGTCCCTTAACCCGAGCCGATATCTGGGAAAGCAAAACATCGTAAAACCAGCGATAGATAGAAAAGGATGGTTCAATCAGTGGGACAACTATTTAAATGGGCAGATAATCGAACACCGTTGAGGAATGCAGTCGATTTCTTTTGTTAAGACTGTGTTATTCCATTTGTTTTAATAATTATTAGTTTTGTAACATTATTTTAATATTAATAAACTTAATACGTAAAATAAACATTTAATTATTTGTCAATCATCTTAATCTTTAATATTTATAGATCTACACTTCATAGGCACCTTCTATATCTATGAAAATGGTAGATAAATAGTTATTTCGCGAGAAATTGTTCTGAATGTCTGTTGTCAGAGTAGAGAGAGCATACATCGTTCCATATCCTTTTCTATATCCAAACTAATTACTTGGGAGTAATTTTTCTTTAGTTAACCACCATTTGAATCTAGTCTTGTTCATGCGCTCCAAGGTTTTCAACACAAGACAGAAGTGAGATTGGCCGGTAGATTAGACAAAATTGGATCTTTTCTACTTTTTAAAATTGAAACTACAATGACTTTTTTAAGGCTATCACACTATTTCATACAAAGATATCTGAAATTGTGAAAGCCAACACAAAAAACAAAAAATGTCTTCAAAACAAATTAAAACCCTGGATCAATGGATAACTTTTAACTTTAATTAAACATAAAAAAAATATGTGGAAAAAATTTAAAGCAACCAAAAGACATGATGATTTTGTTAACCATCGACATTTCGCAAACGATTTAATCAATGTTATTGATAACGCAAGAAGAGAATACGAAGAATATATCGCTAGTAGCGATAACCCTAAGAAGCTATTTAAACACAAGATGCTCTCTTTCTTCCAAAGTATCAGTCCCGCTTCTTAAAAAAACGGATGGAATATTCTGTAATAATGATCAAGAAGCAGCTGAAGCCCTGGCCAACCATTTTTCACAAGTGTTTTCCTTAGAACCCACAGGTGACATCCCAGTTAGCACGATGCCCGAACAGCAACCTCTTTATGTAATGTCCAGTTCTCATCTGCAATTGTTAATGGAAATTTCAAATTCCTCACCTGGAATTGACAATTTATCTGCAATGCTTTTAAAAGAATGCACATCTTATTTGGCTTTACCTCTATTCATTATTAAGACATCTTCCTTTACATCTCACACACTTCCTTCAATGTGGAAAATTGCTTCGGTGATACCTATTTTTAGAAAGGGTGACAAACTCAGTCCATTCAACTATCGTCCAATAAGCCTCGTCCCAATTGCCTGTAAAATAATGGAATCCATCTTAACCAATTTTATGTCTGATTTTCTCAAGAGCCAAAAGAATAATACGGTTTTATCAAAGGCCGATCCACATTAACAAACTTAATGACCTGTTTAAACGATTCAACTACGTCTGTGGACAATAAAGAGCCTGTCGATGTCGTATATCTTGATTTCGCTAAAGCCTTTGACCGTGTTCCCAAAAAGAGATTGCTTTATAAGCTAGCATTCGCGTTTCTTTACTTCTCTGGATTTTTGTCAAATCGCATCTTCAAGGTAAAAGTTGGACAGATGTTCTCGTCAGAGTATCCAGTTTTAAGTGGTGTCTCTCAAGGCTCTGTCATTGGTCCATTACTATTCTTGGTATACGCTGTAGATCTAGGCAAAGACTTAAATTCTAATATCTCGTATTACGCTGATGACACTAAGCTATACTCTAATCCTGTGACAGATTCTGTCCAACTACAAAAAGACCTTGAAACTATTTCAAATTGATGTGACACCTGGCTGCTTCCTTTAAACATAGAAAAATGTATCGTCCTGCATATAGAAAAAAATAACCCGTGCGTGAACTATTATCTAAACGGTAATGCGTTAGCAACTGTGAACTCCTATAGCGACCTGGGACTCATTGTAAACTCTTCATTAACGTGTTCAGAACACATCAGCGGTATGTAAACGTTCGAACTCAATGCTCTACCTGATAAAAAAGTCCTTCACGCGTGTGAACTTTCAAACATTTTCTAAACTTTGTACAATTTACGTTAGACCGTTGATGGAATATGTCGGACCTGCGTGGTGTCCTGATGTGGTTTCTGATCAAAACAGATTGGAACATGTTCAACGCTACGCTACTCGAATACCTTTCGGCAGAATCAGACAATCGTATGAAGAACGGCTTAACATGGCGAGTTTGTGTTCATTTGCCCACAGAAGATTAAGAGGTGATTTAATTGTGACTTACAGAATTCTTCATGGTACTTTTTATCTAACCTCTCTAGTATACTCCCACGGAATACAGATGAGCGCCTACGTGGACATGAGTATAAGTTGAGCAAAGAAAACTTTAAAACACGTACCCAACAAAATTCTTTCTGTAATAGAGTTTTTTATACTTGGAATAATTTACCCTCGCGTGTTGTTTGTGCACAGTCAGTAAATGTATTCAAAAACCGACTCGATGACTTTTTATGAAAACTAAAAGTTTATTTTTAGTGCTTTGTTTGCATTATGTTATTTGGTAAATACTTATTTAATAATTGTCTTTGTTATTGAACTTTGTAATTTTGGACTAAATAGGATTAATTCGTCAGCTCTAATTTGTTTGTAATAATAATAATAATCTTCATCTATTCCATGTGCTATGAAATCATTAAAAAATATCAAGAAGTAGCCCAGCAAACATTTTCTATAACATTAGTTATAACTCGACTTTGTTAAAGACGAATTTACTTATTGAGGTAATTATTACGTAAAATTGACTAGAAAAATATACCTCTAATGTAAATTTACCAAACGGTTTTAATTTATATTTAAATTTACGTAAATTATATCAAGAAATCTACCTTTTACACAAATCTGCTTAAAAGTAACTTTAACCATATCAGCAAGGGAAAAACTACTTAAAAAAATAACTAACAATTACTTCAAAGTTAAATTTCCTTTGTAGTAAAATTAGGTGCCATATTT